TATATATATATATATATATATATATATATATATATATATATATATATATATATATATATATATATTTATATATGTATATATATATATATATACGATATATATATATATATACCAAATAAAAGTCAATCATTCAATCGATCATTCGATCAATCCAATGACTCAGGTTTGTCGTGCGGGGTTTCTGACATGTCATCGAGTTGGTCACTCAGTCGCTGCATTGGATGTGTGTCAGGCGTTCTGGCCGAAGTTCAATCTGTCAAGAAATTGGTGAGTCTGTCTCTAAATCAGTCTCTTTTCCAGTGCATCGGTGACAATGCAAGTCACTGAGTCTGTCACCCGATGACTGTTTGCTGATTACAGGACCGGACGTTGTTCTTGTGCGATTTGGCAGTTCATCCGTTTCGAGATTGTGTTGTCGGCATTGGACCGTCCAGCACGCACCACACGCACGGCGCGGGAGAGGGTCGCCCATCTTTCATGGATGACGCACCTGCCAGTTGCACGCCTGATGACGACAGATCAGCAGAACGGCCACCCACTTGGCCCGCGCGTGGCAACGCCACACCGGTGTCACCGCATGCCGGACAGCGCGGTTTGCTAGGAGTATCCCCTTATGGCAGCCCGGATGACATGCGATCAACAAAGAGGCCTCGTGTTCACTCTCTTTCGCCTACGATCGTCGTCACTCCCGGCATTGCAGTTGTGCATTCTCCGTTGTCGCCCTTGTTGCCGTCTCCAGCGTGTCGTCCATACACTCCGATAGACCCTTTGTCGGATTTCGATGCGTTGTGTTTTCCTGTGCTGTTGCGGCCATTGCAACCTCGCCGTTTGCAGTTTCTGTCGTGTGCTGCGCAGCCATTTCCTCCTCCACTTTTCGTTGGACTCGACGGGTTGGACTCCATCCCCCTAGAGGGGTGTTCTCAATCATCAGCAGCGGTGTTTGGAAGTGGAGGGTCCACACTGCGTGACGGAGGACGTCGGAGTGTAGAACCGTGGGTCTCACATTCGTTCGCCGCATCAGGTCATGGGGAGGGGGGTGTATTGGATGATGCACGTCGTGCCTCTGCCGGGGCCACACATGACCGTAATTCCGCCCGTCGCTCTCTAGTCTCCTGGTTCGACGAGGATGACATTGTGTGTGGTAGCGGAGATGGGCCCAGCCGTTGCGATCTTGGCGCAAAAAATCTTGGTGCGGGTCCTTCTGAACACTCGGGCGGGTCCTTGGGGCAATTTGGTTCGCAGTCAACTGGTTCCGCGAAGTACTCTCGTTTGTTCCTGACTACCGCTTGCAAGGAGAGACTGCGCCTTTTACAATCTGCGATGAAAGAAGTGAGCGACAAGTCTGGGGTCATGAGCGATGTCTTCGACCGACTGTTGCATTGGTCATTGCCAACCATCCGGTCAGAGTTTGGGGACGGTGTGGCGTCGAGAATCGAGAGAACACTACCGGCCTGCAGTCGTGCAGATGTGTTTCGTCTCGGAGCAGGAGGGGATGATTCGACAGTGGACGCTGAGGATGATGGCGAGCGTGAGGGTGAAGGGAGCGGTGGAGGCAATGGCGGGTCATTTTGTGGGTCGGATGATTCACTACCACGTTCAGGGCACGGGTCACAGCGTGGCCGCAGATCGCGCGGGCGGCCACCAAGCCGTGGCAGGTCGCGTTCGCGTTTCGAACATGTACGTCCTTTGTGCTGGGATGATTCAAAGGATGGTGCTTTGCAAAGCAGACCTTGCAATAATCGGTCTGCACATGTGTTGGAATCGATGGGGCACTGGGAAGGCTTGAAAGCGCCTGATGTCGTCTTCGCGGAGCTGGTGAAGCTGCTGCAGTTGCTCGGGTTGTGCGATTTGAGTTGCCCGCGCCACGGGCCTGGTTGTGCTGTGGATGTGTCCTATGTCGGTTATCCTGGGCAGATTTATCGCATTTCGCTCGCTTGTAAGAAGTCCTGTCATTGGACATGGCACAGTGCACTGGTTGTGGGAGCTGTGTACTCTTGCAGACTTCAGCAGCAGTTGTTCCATGTGACCGTCACTGCGGGTATGATATATACCGTCCTCAACGACTTCTGCATCTCGCTTGGGGTGGCACCTGTGCACAAGCCCACTTTTTACAGTTGCATGCGCGGTGAGCCGAATGTGTGTGAGGGTTGGAATGCAAAGGTTGTCAGGCAGGGCATGCGGTATTGCGACTTGGCCATTGACACGGTTATGCGATCAGGGAGACCCGTCACTTTGATGGTTGACGGTCGCTACGACTCGGCCAGGTCTGCGCAGCATTGCACTTTACCGCAATTGAGTGTGATACTCGTCTTGTGGTGGGTGTTCACACTCTTCGGCCAAAAAAGGAGGGAAAGGCGTCGAACCAACTTGAGGTTTCTGCTGTTGTGCGCCTGTTGAGAGACTTGTTGTCGAGGGGGTTGAAGATATGGTGTGTTGTCTTCGACGATTGTGATGCATTGGGTCCACAGTTGGAGCGCCTGGGTATTGAATGGCAAGGCACTTAGAAAAGTTGTGACGCTGAAGGTGCCAAAGAAATTGAACAACCCTCAGCAGTGCGTGTCGGAATCTCAGTTTATGCAGTTCACGAAGAAGGAGTTGTTGGATGCCTTGACGGACCGTTTTGGACCAGGGTGTTTGACGACAAAAGAAAAACGATTGAAGAAGAGTGACTACGTCGCTGTCGTGATGAGCAAAATGTACCCGTACGGCAATATGACAAACAACAAATCCTTGGTCATGGATGCAGATGGTGTGACTGAGTTCCATATGCATGAGGTGGATCATTGGTTTCTTCATGCTTCCCAGGTTTGCAGAGACGAGGGCGGCAAGTTTGTCACTTTGCACAATGATGTCATGATGATCGCCGACCATTGGGCCGAGGACCACTACAGATGCGTTGCGGACAGAGAGCTTCTATGCTCAAAGGCGGGTGGCCCATCTCGGTTGCCTCTGTACACGCACGACGACCCCGTGTACGACATCATTCGCCAGACGTTGGGCAGGCATTGCAGCACGACCGTTTGTTTGTACTACACGGAGTTCCATCACACGTCGACGGTTGAGACCTTCCAGGGCACAATCACCATTTACGCGAAGAATGTCTTGCACTTCGAGAAGTCGTATGAGCCGCGTTTGGCTATTACAGTCATTCGATGGAACAGTCATGCATGGCAGGATCCCTTGGAGTATCATGTCTGCAGGCCTTCTGGGACTTCAATTCGTCCAAGGCCGAGCCACTACCGTCACAATCGACCGCCTACCGATTCGTGGATGGATCGGCTGTCCACGTTCATCTTCGGTTCAAAATGCGTTTCAGATTGGGCTCGACGCCTTCTCGAGTACGACGACTGTGATGTGTCGGGCGAGGTCGGGTCCTCGACACCTCCTTTGCCTCGGGATCTTTTTTGCAGAGGCGAGGATACCATTGCCCGTGACGAGGACGACATTGGCTCAGGTGCGGATCCCGACATTGTGGGAGATGACGATGTTTTCATCATTGGCGACGGGGATGGGTTGCCTGTACCGGCGGATGCCGTGTCCAATCGATCATGCGATTCTCTATCGGACGCAGATGATGTCGAGTTGTTCGACGACTTACATTATGTTATGTCGTAGTATCTTGTACATGCGACTTTTATGTCTGTTGGCTTTTTAGTTTAACGTGTTGATTGTATATATATACATACATACATATATATATATATATATATATATATATTTGCTCAGTCTGACTGCGAAGACTGATGGCGAGGCTGTATACTACCCCGTAGGGTTATATTTGTCATTTCGTTTGACTCGGGCGTAACCGTGAAACCAACCTGTGAGGAAAATTCATGAGGGCCACATCTGTAAATATGGAAAATATAGGCCCATCAGTATTTCGAATTTCCTATACATACACTTACTGCGAATGGCAGGCCCGGACTACCCCCAGGACAGACAGGCCCTAATGGCCTGAGCTGATGGACGGTCCTATAGCCTATAGTCGGGTCCGGTAGAGGCCGAAAGGGCGAAACTGCAACGGTATTGGTCGGTTAGTCAGTCCGGTCTACGTGTAGGTTAGAGTACTGTACTCTATTAGTAGAATGAGGGAAATCGATTGGGGATAAAGGGACTGTAATAAACACTATAATGATATTCGTTCGAGTTGGCTCATCATCAACATCATATCAATTGTGATTTTGCTGAGGTTCTTTATTGTGATTGTTTGTTGGGAGTCTGTCGGAGAGTGAGAGTCATTGTGTGACCTCCCCCATGTGTGCATGGTTGAATTCCGCTTTTTATCCTCGTCTGTGTGCAGTTTTGACTCTGTCACCTCTCCCCCTCTTGTTATGCATGTGTGGGCATATTGGGGGTTGTCTGGGTGGTTAGGTGGTTGAAAAAACAAAATCGTCTCCCCCTGTTCTTATGCATGTGTGGGCGTGTTTGAGAATGTTTGTGTGTGAGCGCCGAAAAAAATCGTCAGACAACCAAGTGATATATATATATATATATATATATATATGTTCCTCAAACATCTGATGGTATCTCATGTCTTGTGCTTGGTTTTGTTTATTTTTTTTGTCTCCTGTGCGTATAGATATTAATGGACCAATGTCGAGTTACACATACATCCATACTTCACATGCTTACGCTCTTAGGCAATAGTTGGATCATACATTATAAAGCCGAACCAATTCAGATTTTCACATTGATCCAATATTGCTATGACATCCAGTTGCAACACTAAATGAATGAACTTGAGTGGCAAGAGCGAGGATTAGAATCGCTTAGACTCCATCGTCAATGGTACAATGACATACAATAAAAAAAAGAAATAAATGAACTTCAAATGAGAGATCGAGGATTATAAGAAGAAGAAAATGATGTACAGCAGGGAAACCAAATTTTACATAATGCAATCCCTGCAAGTCACGACAATAGGTAAGTACCGGGCCTTATGGCCTGTCGAACAAGCACGGGCCGTTACGGAGCACACAAAAAGTAATCCCCACACTTAAGTTTACGATCGCTCACACACACTCAAGGCAAACACACTGTCGGACTGACAAACGTACTCACACTGACGACAAACATACTCTCTCTCTCTCTCTCTCTCTCTCTCTCTCTCTCTCTCTCTCTCTCTCTCTCTCTCTCTCT